TTGCTAGCCTGTCTAGGTCCACCTGTATCTGTAGCTTATCTTCAAGCATGACCATGCTTCCCCATAACTTGATGTTGCCCACAAACTTGGCCAGTGAGCTCTTCACCCCCGCATCCAAATCGATAATAAAAATGTTGAAAATGACTGGACCGAGCACCAACCTCTGCAGGACACCACGGCTCACTTCTCACCAGGATGACACAGATCCATTCACTATGACTCTCTGGGTCCTATCCTGTAACCAGGTCCTCACCCACTTGACTGTCTCGGAGTTAAGCCCACAATCCTCCAATTTTCTTGTGAGGACATTGTGGGATACTGATCAAAAGACTTTTGGAAGTATAAGTGTACAATGCCAATCTGCTCTCTTGTGTCCAGGTGGTGAGTTACCTGCTCATAGAAGGAGATGAGTTGGTAAGGCAAGACCTGCCCATGATGAAGCTATGCTTGCTGTCATTCAGAATCCTACCTTCTGCAAGCTTATCACAGATAGACTCCTTGATGAACTTTTCTAGGATTTTCCCTAGGATGGAAGTTAGGCTGACTGGCCTATAGTTACCTGTGTCCTCTCTCCTGCCTTTCTTGTGCATGGGCACAACATTGGCCCTCTTCCAGTCCCCAGGGACTTATCTAGAGCACCACAAGTTGTGGAAGAGTTTTCCCAGTGGTCTGCAATGACTTTGGCCAGCTCCTTCAGCACTCTTGGATGAAAGTCATCTGGTCCCACTGACTTGTATACTTATAATTTTATTAATTGGTCATACACCAATTCTATGGCAATAGTAGGAAGGCAGTTATTCAAACTGTGTTCATCCTTTACTCTACTTGGTATGGTTGTGGTTTTCCCCTTGGTCCAGTGAAAGACTGAGGCGAAGTAGTCATTCAGGAGTGCAGCTTGCTCCTGTGTGCTGGTAACCAGCTCTCCTGAGTTGTTGAGCAGTGGCCCCACACTCCCATTTGTTTTCCTCCTGTTCCCCATGTATCTAAAGAAGGAATTCTTGTTGTCCTTGATTCCTGTTGCTAATCTAAGTTCGGTCACCACTTTAGCTCATCTTATCTGTTCCCTGCAAATGTGGGCCATCGTGAAATAGTCCTCCTTGGGGCCCACCCCCAGCTTCCATTGTTTATAAGCCTCTTTCTTATTTCTTAAGAGTACTGTGATTTACCTGTGTAACCAAGAGGGCTTCCTAGCCCTTCTGTTACCTTTTCTCTTCATGGGAATGGACTTTCTTTGTGCTTCAAAGATTGTGTCCTTAAGCAACAACCACTCTTTCTGCACATATTTCGTTTTTGGTCCCTGGTCCTGCAGCACTTGCCCGATTCAGGCCGAATCCAAATCGAATAGGGCCCACTTTGCACACCCCTAAGGAGCAGCCCTGGCATTTCCTGCGGTTGGTGGAGTGTGAGGTGACTGTCTTCCCGGTTGCTCCGGGTGGGTCTTCTTGGTTAGCCATGACATTGACCACTATCTCCGTCTCTTCTTCCTTCTTCTGCAGAAGGGTCTGGCAGTAGCCATCAATGAAGTCTTCATGGGCCCTGATGGTGCACAGCTGACATATCTCCTCCTCAAGCTTCCACGTCCAGCCCTTCAGAAACTCCACCAGGGAGCACACCCCACAAGTGGGGGTACCCCAAATGTCGGTTGCCAGCAGCTGCACCAGGCAGCCCCCGCAGTCCAGGGCCTCGAGCTCTGTCTGGGTGAAGGTCTCAGCGATGCTGGGATGCCTGTGGGTATGACGAGTCACTGCCATGGCCGAGAGTGATTGTGTGGCAATAGACTATGCTACTACCCACAAACTAGCCTCTGAACTGCCTGCAAACTGCTTCCCCTGTTTGCAGTCCTGTTCACTGGCTCCCTGGTCACCTGGGGAGTCTCCTTTTTCACCCTTCTGGGCCTGTGCTGACTCAGACCCTTTGTTTGGGCTTCTGTCAGGCCCAGGCAGCAATCACACAGGAGTCAACAGTCCCACAGCAATTAACAACCAGCAATCAGCACTCACTCAGCAGTCAGCAGTCACTCCCAGCTTCTCAGAGCACACACCACAGACAGCCCATCAATCAAACACTCAGCAAAAACAGAAGTACTGGCAGCTGGATCACTTACCTTTCCTGGGCAGGATCTGGTGCCTGGCTTCTCTCCTCCTCCCCCTTCTTGCCTTGGGCAACTGCCTGCAAACTACTTCCCCTATTTGCAGTCCTGCTCGCTGGCTCCCTGGTCATAGGTGATTAGACATCTTCCTTTCTTCCCCAAGATGACGCATGCTCCTTGCTGTTCGGCTGGCTCCAGAGCAGGTCTGGATCTCTCCGATGCTATCTCCCAGGTAAGTTTAAGGACTCTTCTGAGTCTTCACATGCAGGAACTGCAGCCAGTTCCTCCCATTCACCCCTGCTAGGGCACACCACTCTGGAAGCCAGCTTTTCTTCCTCCAGGCTTCCTCTTCCAGGTGTCCCCTTCATTGTCCTCAGGCACGTCTTTATGACGTCTCCTGCCCTGCGCCCACCCCCCAGCTGGAGTCAGCATGTGCTGATAAAGTACAGCAGCAGTAGCAGCAGGGCTTCCCTCACTTGTGCCACCATTGCTCTCTTTGGTAAGTCTCAGGGCTGGGGTGCTCTCAAAACATCCAGGCTGCTGGAGGCCATGGGTGCTCATGTCTCATGACCACAGTGTCATCTACAAATTTGGCCATCATGCTACTCGCCCCCTTTTCCAGATCATTTATGAATATGTTAAACAGCACTGGTCCCAACATAGATAGTTGAGGGACCCTGCTGTTTATGTCTTTCCATTCTGAAAACTGACCATTTATACTCACTCTTTGCTTTCTATCGTTAAGTCAATTTGTAATACAATACACAAGTAGTCATTCCCTGTGATCCCATGACTACCTAATTTAGTTAAGAGCCTCTGATGGAGGACACTGTTAAAGGCTTTTTAGAAGTCTAAATATACTGTCAGCCTGATCCACCTGCTTATTGACACCCTCAAAAAAACTCAGTAAGTTGGTGAGGCATGATTTCCCTTTGATAAAGCCCTGTTGATTTCTCCCTAGCAAGTCATGTTCATCCATTTGCTGAGTATTTTTTTTCTTATTGTTCCCACTGATTTTCCAGAAATGGAAGTTAGACTCACTGGCCTGTAGTGCCCTGCATCACCTCTAGAGCCCCATTGGCAACCCTCCAGTCCTCTGATACCAAGGCTGTTTTTAGTGATGGGTTGCATACTACATTTAACAGCTTGGTAATATCCAACCTGAGCTCCTTTGGGACTCTAGGGTGAATACCATCAGGTCATAGTAATGTGATACTGTTATGTTTATAAGTTCCCTCTACAACCTCATCTACTGAAAACTCATTTTGGGTCAGCTCCACTCTCTTGTCCTGAGAGTAGAGTGGATCTGGTGAGCAAATCTCTTTAACATCTTCCACTGTGAAGACAGATTCAAAGAATGCATTTAGCTTCTCAGTAATGGACCTGTCATCCTTTAGCGCCCAACTGATCCCCTGGCAGGTCTTTGGCTTCTAATGTACTAGAAGGAATTTTTATTGTTACCTTTTACATCTGTAATAAGTTTCTTCTCAAATTCTCTCTTAGCTTGTCTTATTACAGTTTTATATTTAATTTGCCAGAATTTATGCTCTTTTTTTATTTCCCTCATTAGAATGGACTTCCACTTTTTGAACGAAGCCTTTTTTATGCTTATTACCTCTGCAACTTTGCCATTAAACCATGCTGGCTTTCTTATGGTCTGCTTTCCTTTTTTTTTTTTATTTGCTCTATGCCTCCAATATGGTGTTTTTAAGCAGTTCCCATGCTGTTTGCATGTTCTTCACCTCCTTAGTGGCCCCTTTTACTAATCACAGAGATGGTAAAATAATGTATTACTAATTCCAGGTATTCAAAAATAGTGAGTCAGGCCCCCAAAAGCATAAAAGTGACTAAAACTCATAAGTTCTTAAAAAATGATAATTTTACTGGGTCCTTTGTATGTGCTTTTTGGCATTTGAGCCTGCAGCATTCAGGTTTTTCAGCTTTTCTCTGTAATCAAAAGGCCACAAACTTGCTGTCTATGAAGAATAGTAGAGATTTTCATGTAATCACATAACTCCATGCGCTGTTGCTTTAAGAGCAATACTTAACATTGCAAATCCCCAAGATACGGCGACTGCAATTGATTCTGAATTTTCCTAAGCTTGTTACCAAATTAAATCACACCCATATTTCCATATAGTTCAGTAAAAGAGCTCATTTGTGTAAAGTTACCAAATCTTAAGACTTTTTAGCATTTGGGCTTAAAAATCTAAATAGCTAAGATTTATGAGATTTGTAGGGAGAAGTATCAGGCCTTAAAGATAAAAACTGGCTTTGAAAAAATAATATTTGCTGCATAGAAAGAAACGTGCTAAGATCACTCATAGGCTCCAAAAACAGATTTTGCAAACTCTGCAACTCCACAAATAGTTGACCATTTAGTCTGTGGTTTTGCCTATGCTCATCTTTGCCTAAGCGACTTTAGAGAAATCAATAACCTATATTTAACCTTTGCATTAACTGATATCCAACATGCTGTGTCCATTTTAAATGCCAATAAAAATCTTTCAAATGGATTACAAAGCAAAAGAAATGCAATACATTAGTAAAATGGCACTCTTGGCTGTACCTATTTTTATATGGTAGCACTTTCATCTATACAGTAGCAATTATTTATGCCTTATGTCTTATTAAATGCTGATCAAACAAGTTATTTTTTTCATGTAGAATAATTATGTTTTATACCTGGATAGCAGAGGTTTATCTTCATGGTGGTAAAATGAAGATAAAAAGGTTGGCAAATTTCTGCTTGAAAATCTATCAATACCTTTTGTAATCTGCAGCTATTGTATATCATGATCGACAAAATGCCCTTTTTTAAGAGAGTAACAATTTGCGTAATAATTACACAGGGTAACACAGCAGAAGTTCTTTACTGACTTTACTACTCTTTATTTTTTGATTTTTGCAGAGCTCCAGAGTTGCTTTCCTAAAACTGCGCTGGCTGTTCCTCTAACTCACATGCTTGCTGAGTTTGAACTACTCAGGTCTTCTACAATTCAGCCTCCAAGAAGCTGAAGAGTCTCCCTCCAGCCACAAAAAAAGCCTTAAGCACACACTTAAATGTAACCAGGTGAGCATCCCTATTGATGTGAACAGGATTGCTTGTTTACGTGCCTAAAGGAAGTTCAAGAGCTTAAATTTACAGCTGCAAGGCTGAAGGATTATCGCAATTCATGCATTTTGCCTATTCACTGCTATCAAAAGAAAGCAACATTACCTCCATTTTACAGATACAGAAACTGAGGCCTGAGAGTCCAGACAAGTCAACGAAGCCAGGAATAAAACTGAAATCTTTCAAGTTCCTGCACTCTGTGCCCTCTTCTCTGGGCACTAGGTTTAGTTCACCTGAAAACAAAATTATTTCAGCAAGGTCACCCATGATCTGACTCTCTCTCTTGCTCCGTTTGCGCATCAGGACCCTAACCAAATCTTGCCACTTCCTCCTCTACATTATTCTTAAAATGCAGCCTTTCCTTTGTGCTTTGCTGTGTTTTTTGCCTAGGTTTTCTCCAACTTTGACTCCCTTAACTCCCCATCCCCACAACAAACACTTGCCAGAATCCATGTTTGCTTCCTTTTGGACCTTCTGAAACACAGCTAAAATGAGGGCTCTGTCTATCATGAATCCCCTGGGCTCTTCCTTGTCCACCCCCACCCATATACACTTCTCTCCCTTGCCTTCAAAGCCTTGAAGAACTTCTTCTACCTACATCCAAATTTTATGCCTTGTGACTTCTGCCTTTTGTCATCACATTTGTTTTCTTTCACATTCGTATCTTATTCCATGCTAGCTTTAGGTATGAAATAAACTTCCAATTGTAGCAAACTTAAGCCCCACCCTGTCCTCATTCAGTTCCCCATTGTTTCTTCTGCAAGGTGCATAACCAATAGCCAACATCAAATCTCAAGTATCATCAACAGAGAGGAAAAGGAGATCTAAGAGTGCCTGGTCTGAGTGCCTGATATTTGTCTCCAACATACTGTAAGCTTGTTGGCACGGAGAACATAACTTCCTGTATGCTGTCCCAACATATTTTGGTTGCTTAATATGGGTTTTTGCAGAATATGATCTGATTATTTATGCTGTTGGGTAGTGATATTTGTGTGCAAGTTGAAATACTGACTGTAGTCCCTCTGCACAGGTTACTGTGAACAAATGGAGTGGCTATGCTCAAATCAGCCTCCTGCCACAGCCTAGGAAAAAGTCAGTGCAGAGACCCTTCCCAGAGCACAAAATTTGCACGTATCTCCAGGCAATCACCTTCTTCTCAGTCCTTCATTTGGAGCATGTTTCTCAGAGCCTGTATGACAAAAGCAGTATTCTCCTACCGTGGCTAAAAGGATATTCTAGGCTATTTTTTCTTTTTTTTTTTAATGGTTTTGTGAACATAGAGATGCAGTTAATTTCTCAAAAAAGATTACCCTGCAGTTTTTCCATCATGGTTCAAGATGTGTTCGCCAAGCCAACTGAATTGTGCATGTGCTGAAATGTAGTGCTACAATGCTAGTATTTGGCAGGATCAAGACCATGTAGAGGGAAGGCAATAAAGATGCTCCCTTAAGATGGCAGTAAAATTGCTCATTTGAAAAATAAAATACACATACATAGCCCTGGGCTTTGTGTGTGTAAATAAACTTGAGACCTACAATGGTATTAGCTGGCCTTTTTTAAAGTAATAGTGGGAGCACAATTTTATGGCTAGCATTCAGTCTTCCCATAGAAAGAGATGTTATAGATAAAGTCAGAAAAGAGACATTCAAAACAATATCGATCAAATTGCAGGAGCAGTGAACTGTGAAACAGATCTATTTTACTGTAGGTTTTCGTTACTGATTGGCTATAGAACCATTAGTGCGAATGTGTTCTTCCTAATGGTTTAGCAGAATTGACTTTTGAATGACAATGTACTTCCCCAGGCCTATGCTGCCCCATAAGTGTAATGGATGAAACAGTTTTGCTGGACTTTACAGAACAGAGATTTTGTTAATTTGGGAATTTAGAAAGCTCCCAGCACATTTCCAATTTCCTTACAAAAATAAATCAAGTTCTTTTATTCCCAGAGAATTCTACATTCAACTTGTCATTTTTTTTTAAATTGTAAAAATAACCTAGGAAGGAATATGTATCTTGGATTGTACACACAGTTTCTGAGGGTGTAAATTAATTATACATGGCAATAAAATGGAAACAATACTAAATTCCAATAGACTTTTGTCTTTTTTTTGTGCACATTGATTATATGCACATTTTATTTTGTATTTAGTCAACAATAGCATTAGAGAGCATTAGAATGAAAACACACTATGGCTGACTTATGAAGAGGCTTAAGTAGACC